GGGCGGCTCCTGCGCGCCGCTCTCGCCCGGGCCCGGCTCTGGCTCTGCTCTCACGTGGGGTTCCGAAGGCGCAGCTCTGTGTCTGGGCCTGAACCGCACACGCTTCTGGTAGCTCCGATCCTCTCATGTCTCAGTGTTGCCCGCTTCGTGGTGGTTGGGGGTGGGGTGGGTTGGTTTTTTTTGTGTAGGGACTACAGTTATAGCTAAATAGTACTCGGATTGTTTTTTATGAATTTTCAAGGTCTCTAGTCAAATTCTCTGGCTGCCTCTGTGTACACTTGTATCTCCATTTTTTCTTTCTGAAATAATAAAGATATGTTGACGCACTGAGGCCACAGTGTACTGTAGGCTGTACTGTATGCATTTATTTTTCTAGTTTTCCTGAGTTTGCTAATTGAGACGTTTCACAGCTCAGCGCTGTGCTTTGGCAGCAATAGCCCTTCATGCCAAGCTCGCCCAATTCTGGTTTCCCCACCATTGCACCAGCTCCAGCGGTGGAACAGAAGAGGTCCGTAACTGGATGGACACTCTGGCTTTCCCTCACCTGTCTACTTCTCTTTCCCCTTTATGCAAAAAGCATATTAAATACTTTATTTGTGCATTTCCCGATTCTGCCAGAGTCCCCTGCAACACCCCTTTTCTGGGATACACTGCTCTGCCAGCCAAGAGCAGTTTGTCCCAGGGCCTGTGACCACTCAGCTGCCCAGCACCACACGCCGGGGCACAGAGGGGGCAGCGGGACACAGTCAGGGCTGGGGTGGCCCTGCAGAGCTGTCACCAGCACCCTCTCCTGCAGGCAGTGGTCAGGCTGTGTCAGTGATGGGGGTCGCTCCTCCTCAGGGCCTCATAGCAGCAGAGACATGGTTCCGTGTCCTTGGGGCCCCAAAACAGTGCCTGGTCTTACAAATGTGAACCCCAACACAACAGTCAAGTTCTCACTGGCAGTTTATTAAGGAAGCAGGTTACAGGGTGGGCTTCTTCCCCCCGCCAAGTGCTTTCCAAGCACATGGAACGAAGCACCGGGCAGCCGCTACTGTGGTGGCACACAGTGCCAATGCTCTTTCCCCAAGATAAACATATGGAAGCCACCAAGCCTTGAACAGGACAGGACTCTGCACCATCAAGTGAGGAATAGCATTCGAGGCTTTAAGCAGCTGCTAAAAGCCGTTCTGTCCTGAGCATGTATCATGCAGTGGATCCCCACCACTCCTTCCACAGACAAGCAAGGTGGGACCGAGACAGTTCTCGATGTCTCTCCCGGTTCGCAGCGGGTACGTGGCCTGTAGCTGCCATACACACCACCTGGTTTTATGCAGCTCAGCACCTGCCTTACCTACAGACCAGTTAACATCAGGGACTGGCATGCTGCTGTGGTTTGTTTTTCAGAAGGCTGTCCTCGGGCTTCTGAATGCTGTAAGACACTTCCTAGGCAATTAGTGCTCATTAGAGAACTGTTACAGTAAGATGTAACTATAAACAGGCAAGTTCCAGGGAAAGCAACATATAAATCAATCTAGATAAGTAGCATTACTCTTAAAACATCTAACTTGACTCCAAATATTTTATGATTAACTGTAGACTATGGCTGCAGACCTGCTCACTAATACAGAGGGTATTAGTTCCCTTAACTGGTAAATGGGGGGACCAATGTGCCATCATGCCACATGCTGCAAATAACTCTGTTCCCTTCTACCACTGAAACTTCTTTTTTAGAAATGGGGACAGTACCACCCACCAGCAAGTCACATTCAAAGCATTTCCCCACTCTCCCCTCTTTTGGGAACTTTTTGTATGGCCTTATTCAATAGACCTCCTATCTGATTCAGAACTCGCACTCTGAGCTCTTGGGACCAGGAATTGTATCTTGTCTGCAAAATGGACAATGCAACAAGTGAGCTGCTTCCCAGCGGCTGATCTAAAAAGCATTTCCGGGGTGTACAATTAGCACAGGCTGAGGCTTTGCATGGACTATTTTAACTGCTCGCCGCGGCAGACGTCCTCTAGCTTGGGGCTTGTCTGATACCTCCTAGTATCTTGAAGAGGAGGAGATCAAATACAACATTACTGC